GTTTTTAATATACAGATCCAAGTTCGAGTCTTTGCATGCCTCTTTTTATTGTTTTTACTAAATAATTATTTTAAATAAAAGATTTCGTTTAGAGTTTTTTCCTTTTTTTTTTAAACAAAATTTAAAAATACAAAGTTTGTATTTTCAAAAAGAACATAGATTACATCCTAAAGTGGTGGCACCTTGGTGAGATGTCTTAAGTCACGAGCTCAAGTCTCAATGTGTCTTAAAATAAATTTTTTTTTGTTATTATTTTTTTTACTAAATAATTATTTTGAAAACTCCAATGACGGGAATTGGAACCCTCCAATTTACTCGAGGTGCTTAATTTTTCTAATGGTCTTCGTGTAACTCATACATATTAATTCATATTTTATAACAAGGTGTGAATTAATATAACATGGGACATTTCGATAAATATTTTTTTTCTTGGACCAAATAAAATAATAGGATAATTTATGATAGAATGTGGTACCGTTTTCGAACGGGTGTTATAGGGTGCTAACACCTTCCCTACGCTCAGTGGACTCCCGAACCAACAATCTGTTTTCGCAGACCTTGTTTTTATTTTTAGGTGACTAATCACACCTCGTAGATGATTGGTGGCGACTCTAAACCCTTATCTCGAAAGAGACCCTTTAGGGGGATTACGTCGACCGCTCCGCGTCGCGATGACGTTGCGACAGCTTGGCAACTCCACTGGGGACATTTGAGAGTCAAGCCATTTATTTTGTCATTTATTATCCTATTGTAATATGTTTTTGGGTCCATTTTTTTTGTTTGTTTTTTTTCTTCATTTAATTGTATTATTATTTTATTTTGCATCATCATGCATCTCACACACATTCACAAGCCTCCTACCCGGGCTTTACCTTTTAGGATTAGATCGGAGACTGAGTAGTGTGACCTTCGTGGAATTGCGGTTCCCGTGCAGGTGCATAAAATTCTCCACTCAAGTCGACCATACTGCCAAAGCATATGGAAAATTTGAGGGCGATTATCCTTTAGGATGCATTAGTACATAACTTCACACCATACTCATATTGCATTTTATGTGGGTTGTTCCGTCGTTCATGGCATATTGTTTTTAATAAAAAATTAGGGTTGATTTGGAGTTTTAACCATTAGGTTTTAAATGAACCACTTAAAAAAAAAGAATAAAAAATGATTTACCTTATTTCTTCCTAACTATTTGTTTAAGCTTTGGATAGAAGTGTTGCCTTTCAAAGGGGTTATAAATGTCCCTGTTGTGGGCACATAAACACTTTCAAACTTATTTACTCACTTAGGAGTTCGGCTTTATAACCCTAGAGTTTAATTTTATGTACATATTTATGTTTCTCTCTCTTAGGGTGAATTAGAGT